AAATTAAAACACGAGGGGGTTTGACGCATTTTTCAAATCACAAGGGAGCTAATGCGCTGACTTTCCATATCGCAGGGAGTTTCGTGCATTTAACCCCTGCTAGGAAGCCGCTACTGGGCGGCTGACTTTGATTGATTGATTGGATTTGGGCCCAACGACAAAACTTCACTGATTCAGACCTTTTTGTGACACAATTGTTCGTCGAATGCCTGCGGACTGGTTCTGTTCGAGGTCCAACACACGGGCCTTCACTAATCCAAAGTTTGAGCTGCACAACTGGGCTGGAGGTGTTATTTTTTCTTGATTTTTTTTATTTGTTTGGACTGTGTTGAATAACTGAGCTGAAAGCAAGTTTTTGTACTTTTGAACTGTTTCGCAAATTCTCTCTCTCCGCTTTCACGGTGAAGTGGATGAGGTTAAATGGTTGGCCTGGATATTATTTTAGGTTAGTATACCTAGTTTAGTCATATAGATAGTTTATTTAATTTTGATATATAGTATGATACTATGTACTTCGTATTACTTTAAGATAATTTTTTAATATATACATACCTATTATCCAAAAAATTAAAAAAAAAAAAGAGGAAAAAGGTTAAACAAATCCTTCAACTATCCTGAATCAATCACAAAAATTCATCTACTATATAAATTATCATATAAATTCATTTACTCTTCAAATTCAATCGTTTGAGCCAAATTACCTCATATTGTTTACTTTCTCTCTCTCATATTTTTTCCATTCACTCCCACTCCCTCAACCCAACATGCTCATTAGTTACCCTTTTTTGTTTCTTGTTTTTTCATTTTTTCTTTTCTTCTTTATATTTTCCCATTCCTATTTCCCTTTCTGTTCGTTTTTTATCCCCATCAACAAACATGTTTTCCTCCTTCACTCCCGATCAACCTACAACAACATATCAATTTGAAGCAAGTCTGTCAATTATATTGATAAGTCCCTATTTTGACACGCATTTGATGCGTGTTGGGATCCGCTTTTGATGGTTTTCATAGCTTTAAGGTGTTGCAAGTCTCAATTTTAGTTCAAGTTATGTTTACCAGGCGTTGGTTCGAGTTTTGTGTCATTTGGAGTCAAAATCAGGAATTTAGAGTTCGGCACCGGCGCTTTAGGAGCAATCGGGACGATTCGAGATGCATTCGAGAGTGGATTGAGAGATTTGGAGGTCATCGGGAGGTTTACGATGAAGATTTGATGACAAAAGAGCTCTAGGATTGGCTACGGGATTAAAAGAAGATGGATAGAGCTTGAAAACGACGATCAGGATGACCTTCTATCAATCGTTCAAGCATATCGCTTTGTAGAAGCATCCAAAGGACACGACTCAAGTTGAATATGAAAGCCAACTTCAAGGGCTACAAATCATATGAAGACATCATTTCGAGAATCTGAGAGGAGCAAGGTGAAAACAGATGATGAAGTCAGGTGATCCCTTTTGCGACTTCAGAATGCGACCTTCCACCGTTTTGATCATATCTCTTGATTGGATGATTCAAATCTAATTCGGCAAGTTGTGGTGGATAGAGGATTTCATTATCTACAACTTTCATGAAGGAAGTTTTGTCAAATTCGGACTAGAGAAACGGTGAAGAACAGGCCACGCACGATTGTGCCTGAAGGGACGCACGATCGTGCGTGAAAGAGAAACTCGCGTGGAGCTACTGGAATCCAAGCACGATCGTGACTGGCAGGGTAGGCACCGTGCCTACCCCCGTGTTACGCGAAAAAGCGTACCAGTTCGTCCAGAATTCGGAATTCCCCCCCTTTTTCTATAAATAAGGCCTACATACCCCTTTTTGGGGGTTACGAACATTACGGAGAGGCCTAGGGACGAAATTATCTGCGTTTTTACTATTGTTTACTCCAAGAACCTGGGATTTCTTTGTAAGTTCATATTTTTAATTAATGACAATTATTTCTATTCATCTCAATTCTGTTGATTCTTCAATTATGAATTGTGAGTAGTTTAATTAGGGATTTGAGGTTGATGAAGGGGTAATCATGATGTATGGCTAGATTCTTGTTGGTTTAATTGTATGAATGCCGTTTAATTTGTGTTTGAATAATTTAATTGACATCTCTTGTAACCTAGATGGCCACTAGAATTATAATTGCTTGTAGAATAAGTTAAGAGAGATCTAAATTGTTCTAGAACACATTCACACTGCACACACTTAATCGCTCGCTAAGAGATTAGTAGCGATTAAGAGGCCGTAATCTCGCTCGTTTTGGCAATAATTTAGGATCATGTCACATGAGAGATCAGCCCGGTCCCCTAAATTATTGTATTTTACGCCGCGAGAGCGGTAAGAACTTAGTAATGATTAGCTAGGTTCAATTAAAATAATTTCATGTAATTAGGCCTGATCTGCCAGAAATCTGGTTACCCCGGAATCAATCCATGTTCCCTTCGTCGTTAATTGAGAAGAAAACCAAGCTTTATTTTTTTCGTTCATCTGCATTTTAATTTTCCAACTCAATCAATCTCGCACAATTGCATATTTATTTTATTTATTTTATTTTTAATCGCTGAATTTAGTAAATCTCTTTTATATTATCTTTTTTTTTTATAATAGCTTGTCTTTTTTATCTTTATTTTCTTTCTTTTTCTTTTGATGATATCATGTATGGATTCATGTTAGCCGACCCCAATATCGTTTAGGACCAAGGCTTGGATGTTGTTGTTGTTTTGCTGAATGTAGTTAATCTTTAATTCCCTTTTGTCCGTCCCTGTGTAGACGATACTCGTACTTCAAATCACTTTACTACATCATTTTTAATTAAGTGCGAGAAAACTCACACATAGAAGTGTATATATGTAATACATAGAACATACCATATATATGTATGTAGAAAGTACTTCGTATATACTACGTATGTGAACTCTCTCATCACAACTTTAGGGCTTCGCTTTCTGCCAAGCCTCTAGTCCTCCTTCCTTTCTCTATTCCTAGTTTCTTACAAGATTTTTCACGTGGATCTTCGCCCCAGGCTTAATCGATCGATTGTTTGGAGCTTTCTTCTTCTTTTTATTATGGTGTTCAAGTTAATGATATTTTCAATTTCTCTGCTTCGATGAAGATTGGGTTAGTGCCTTAGTGGTTATATTCATTTTGTGTTATCATTTCAGGTTAAACAATCATCTTACATATTCTTTGGTCAAAATACATTGTCCAAAGAAAACTGAAAAAATCCAACGGTGTCGGAAAATGAGAAAGAAATGTGTGGATTTAGACTGCGTATTATGGAGTATTATGAACGAGATTGGAGAAGACGTAGAATATCTTAGACCCAATAAGCAGTGACATTAAAGATGTGAGGAAAAGGAAAAAAATTGCTGGAGAAAGAGAACCAACGAGTACAAAGAAAGAACCAAAGAAAGGAGAAAAAAAAAGGAAAGGAAAATGAAATAAATAAATACATTTATATATTGATTGTTTTAACATAAAGAAAAAATTGATAGTAATAATCCCAATTATTGGCGGTACGCTCATAATAATCCCAACTATTGATTATTACAGAATAATCCCAACTTTAGGGACCTTCCGCCAATAATGGTCCCTATGAATAAATTCTTATAGTTTCTAAAGTGGATGAGATGAGATATAACAAGTAATCCCTATAAATAATCTCAACTTTTAATTTTTACGCTTAATTTCTATTTAAAATTCACTTTTTATAGAGGTAATATATGGCTATGGACCATTATTGGCGAATAGTCTATATAGTTGGGATTATTCAAAAATAATCAATAGTTGAGATTATTTTCAGCGGACCAACCATAGTTGGGATTATTATTTTCAATTTTTCCTAACATAAATCAGCCTTCTTAGCTTTAACCGGCTAAGAAGTATGCTTTCTCCTAAAGGTGACCATATTGATTGTTTTTATAAAAAGAATACATATGTGGTGGTTGTTACAACGGAACCGCCGCGAATTTCAAATAAAAAAGCTGCTCGGATCATACTAATAATATGCGTTAGGTAATAACCGCCACGAATTATTAAAATTTTCTATTTTTTATTTTAATTTTTCATTGGCGGCGGTTTTGAAGGATAAAAACCGCCGCGCGTTTAAAATTCGCGGCACATTCGTTTGTGGCGGTTAGAAATGCCGCGCGTACGGGTGTAAAAACCGTCGCAAATTAGCTTTTTTCCACTAGTGTCTAAAATGCGTGAGGCGTGACGAAGCGGCACGCCCGAGCCTTAAGCCTTTGAAGCCTAAGCGAGTTTAAGCGGGGATTAGGCGTAAAATGGCGTTTTAGTTTTTTACTATTATTTCTAAATTTTATATAAATGTTTATAAATATATAAATGTAATATTATAAAATATAATGCAAAACATAATACTAACATGTTTTCCATCAAAATAAACTTCTAAATTAATAAATGCAACACCTATTTTATGAATATGTTATACAACAAGTAAGAGTAGATAAAAAGTTGAATGATAACACAAACAATAATAAAATTGTTTGTAATAATAATAATAATGAACACATAACAATGGTCTTATAATCATATACTCCGTTGTACGTATGATTCTGCTCTTAAACAATAACATTAAATATTGTAGTTCTTATATAGCAATAATGATTATTATCTAATGATAACAACAAATTGTTCTAAAAAGCGACATATTATTGGCCATTTAGATTAAATAAATACGTAGTATATGATAGATAATAGATTCAGTATACTAATTTATGAAACACCCACTTTTAAAGTATATACTTGGTATGCTAGATGTTTTCTTTTGGGCTGTTTTGAGTCCCAGACCAGACCAGACCAGATCAGACCAGACTTAAACAGACCAGATCAGACCAGACTTAAACAGACCATATCAGACCAGACCAGACCAGACTTAAACAGACTAGACCAGACCAGACCAGACTTAGATAGTTATAAAATACACAGAGACCAGGCGTTCGTTTACCAGACCAGACCAGACTTAAAAAGACCATACCAGACCAGCAAATTTCAGTCCAAAAGAAAACATAATGTCATTGGCGTTGGTACTATTTATCCGGGCAATTTGGAGTTTTACTTCGTCCGATCCCACATTCCCACACCGGAAGCAGTTGAAGTATTCCTCCTTCCAACACCCTATATATATGGATATCCGCTTCTAAATTCAATCATCTTATGCCGCGGTTGCTACTACACTAATACGCAGCCCTTCTATCTGTGTGTAAAAATGATAGTTAAAACTTTAAATTTTTTGAAGCGCAGCATGCCTTTGTTCACGCATATGCATATTGAAATGAACATGCACCAAATTAAAGCTGAAATGGTGGTACCTCCAAAACCGAATGCTATAATGAGTAAGAAGCCTGAAATTGCAAAGCCACCTCCAAAGCTGAATGGTATTGTGATTAAGGAGCCTGAAAATGCTAAAGAAGCTCCTTTTATTGAGGTGACTTACAAGAAGAAGGGAACCCAATTGCCAAAGAAGAATGGGAGCAAAAATGATGTTAACACATCCATGCCCCAAAAGCCGAATCCCACTCAAGATAAAGAGGAGGCTGCCGTGGATGCAAGGCTGCAAATTGTTACAAAACTGGGGCCCAAACCGGTGGAGGATGCAGTTGCTCTCTATATCCGCAACATGTACGAGATGGATGATTAGGACATTGTCACTGGTTGAGGGCCAATACATGCATGTCAAATGTGTGTGCCGTATCACCCAAATAAATTTTTTAGCTACGTTTGTTTATCCGCTATATACCGTTTTGGAACGCAAAGCCTTATGGGAGGAACTTGCTATGCTAGGGGATGGTATTACCGAACCTTGGTTTATTGCGGGGGACTTTAATTGCGTTTGTGCTCCGAATGATAAGGTAGGGTCTACCCCACCTACGGCATATATGATGCAACACTTGTTTGATTTTAAAATCCGGGCTAACCTTGATGATGCACCTTCTACGGGTGAATTCTACACGTGGAACAGAGGTGCCCTTTGGGCAAAACTGGATCGTGTTTTATTAAATGATGCTTGGAGCAACGGTGGTTTAAATGTTAGGGCCCATTTCAATGAAATGGAGGTTTAGTTTGATCATACAGCTTCTGTAATATCAATACTCAATAATTCCTCTCTAAGGCCTAAACCATTTAAGTTTTTTTAATATGTGGATTAAACATCCGGAGTTTGCTAGTTTAGTAGCACAGAATTGGAACCAGCATATTGAGGGTACAGCGCAATACTCAATGGTGAGGAAGCTAAAGCTGCTCAAAAGGCCGCTTAAAGACCTCAATACTAAAGAGTTTGGCCACATCTCCAATAGGGCGAAGAGGGCAAAAGAGGAGTACAAATGCATACACAAACTAGCTCTCCTAAATCTGATGGATGAGGAACTCCAAGGCCAGTTGACTGAAGCTACAAGATGGGCAAAATTCCTTAGTGAAGCCGAAGCTAGCTTCTATCAACAAAAGGCCAAGGCAACTCACATCCTTGAGGCGGATAAGGGGACTAAGTATTTTCATGCAATTGTGAAAAGGAAGGCAACTAGGAATGCAATATCTTCCATCACTTTGGAGAATGGCAATCTTACTACGCCATTGGAGCAGGTTGGGAATGAATTCGTAAGATTTTTTGTTGACTTATTTGGTACTCATGCCGAATGCCATTCCCTGGACCCCATGGTTTTGGGATCCGGTCCTTTGATTGAACCTAGTGTTCATGAAAGCCTACTTGCACCGATTAAGACAATAGAGATTAAAAATGCTCTATTTGATATTGGTAATGAGAAGGAACCGGGACCGGATGGTTACTCATCCGTTTTCTTTAATTGATATTGGAATACTGTTGGAAATGACATAGTCCGGGCTACCAAAGAGTTCTTTTGTTCAGGAAAGTTACTCAAGCAAATAAACCACATGGTTATTGCACTTATCCCTAAAACGAATCACTCTCCCAAGGTATCAGACTATAGACCAATTTCTTGTACGAATGTATTATATAAAATTATTACAAAAATCCTAGCGGCTAGAATCATCTCTTGCCTCCCTGGCTTGATTGACCTAGCCCAAGGTGCTTTTGTTGACGGCCGCCTCATGTTTGATAACATTTTTCTTGCCAAAAAACTTGTTAGGGGATACATGAGGAAGCGAATCTCACCTAGATGTATGATCAAAGTGGATTTGCGAAAGGCCTATGATACTATTTCTTGGAGTTTTCTTGATAATGTCTTAAGGGGTTTGGGCTTCCCCTCGAGATTTGTTGGATGGATTATGGAGTGCGTAACCACGGCTTCATTCTCCATTTCCTTGAATGGTTCTTTATATGGTTTCTTTGAGGGCAAGAGGGGCATTCGGCAAGGAGATCCTATGTCTCTGTTGCTTTTTGTCCTTTGCCTAGAATATTTTTCCCGACTAATTAATTTGAAAACCAAAGGGTCAAATTTTAATTTCCATCCACAATGTGCGAAACTTGGAGTGACTCACTTGGCCTACGCAAATGATCTAATTCTCTTCTCTCGGGGCGACACTTATTCAATTGAAATACTTGTCAAAGCCCTTGAGGAATTTGGGGATGCATCGGGCCTTAAAGTAAATCATGATAAGTCAAGCATTTTTTGGGTGGAGTTAATAATAATGATCTCCAGGAGATTATGGCCCTTGTGGACTTTGGGTGTGGTACATTCCCGGTTAAATACCTCGGAATTCCACTTGCCTCTTTAAAGGTTTCCGTAACGCAATATTCACCGTTGCTTGATACAATTTCGGATTTTTTAAATGCTTGGAATGCAAAGACCTTATCCTATGCCGGAAAACTAGAGTTGATAAGATCTGTGATCCAAGGGGTCCAATCTTTTTGGCTCCAAGTTTTCCCGGTCCCCCAAACAATCTTGGATAAGATAGTTTCTATTTGCCGAATTTTTCTATGGGGTGGGAAATATTCAAAAGTGGCCTGGGACGACATTTGTCTACCAAAAGAGGAGGGGGGCCTTGGCATTCTTAATGCTAAGATTTGGAACCATGCTCTCCTCTCTCGAACACTTTGGGATGTTCATAGGAAAAAAGACACCCTTTGGGTGAGGTGGGTCAATGGGGTCTACCTCAACGACAGGAGCGTGTGGGATTTTATCCCACACAACCGTGACTCAATGTTCATGAAGAAACTGAGTCACATTCGAGACCAAATTATGGGCTGTTTTAACAATCGGAATGATACCATAATGGGTTTGAATGCTAGATCTGTTAAAGGCAAGCTAATTTCGGGCAAAATTTATGACTTATTGAGAATAAAAGGGACAAATAGGGCTTGGATGAGCTTCATTTGGAAGTCTTATATGATTATATCTCTCCAAAATTCTCTTTTAATGTTTGGCTAGCTTTCTGAAACCGGTTACCTACACAGGATAACCTTGAATATTTGCATATCATAAATAGATGTGACCTTTGCAAGGGTGGCTTGGAAACAATGCCACACCTATTTTTTCTTTGTGCTTTCACTCGTAGGGTTTGGGAGCGCATCAAGGACTGGTTGGGAATGGATCGCCAAATGACCACACTTCAAAGCTCGGTCAAATGGATACTAAAGGAGCATAAGGGATCCAAGTTAAAGGGCAAAGCAGTTCGGCTAGCTTTCTGTGCCGCGGTGTACCACTTGTGGCATGCAAGGAATGAAAACAGATTTGATGGAGGCAACAAGAGTGAAGACGAGATCATCTCGAAAATCAAGCATGTGGTATATAAGATCTTATTCAACATATATCCGCATGAGTTGATCAAATTCTGATTGAAGACCTTTTTTGGATACTTTCAAATGCCAAAGCATTGATTTATTTTTGGGCAAAAGGATGTGTGCATCTTGCAACATCATATGCCATGTATATTGTTCTCACAACTATGATCTGTGTGCGTGCAATCTTGTAGCACCGGTAGCTTTTTTATGTTTGGGGGCCTAGTATTGTTTACTTTGGGCCTAGCTTGTTTTTTGACTTAGATCTAATCAAAACCTTCTCCCAACCCCACTTCGGTGGGGGGGGGAGGGTTTTAGGAGATCTAGGATGTATGGTTTTTCTTTGGGTGCTAATATATATTTACATTTCATCCAAAAAAAAATGAACATACACCACAATTTTACATCAATGAGGACTCAATTGATGAAAAAAGGCTAAAGGGTCAAATAGGCTCTTGAACTAACTTAAAATGTTCAATTAGCCCCTTATATAGGAGGTTCTGCCCAACTGTCGCTAATTGGGGCGGTTCCCGGTGTAATTCAACCGGGAAGGCACTCAAATGATTTTCTGAAATATACTGCGCTGTTTAACTTTGCAGTTATCTTCAAAAACTCATTTGACTGCCTTTCCAGTTGAATTTATAACTCAAATTTGGTATGAGTAAACTAGACTTAATGAAAAAGATGCTCAAAAAATTTTATCAAAAAATTCCACTGGGAACCTCCCCAATTGACGACGGCCTGGCAGAACCTCCTATATAAGGGGCTAATTGAACACTTTAAGTCAATTCAATGCCTATTTGACCCTTGAGCAACAAAAAAAAAGAGAGTAAAGGGTCAGTTTGGTCCTCGAAATTGCATAAAAGGGGTCAAATAAGTCCTTATATAGAATATTTTGTCCGGACGTGCTATTTGAGGCGGGTCCCGGTGAAATTTTGCGATTAAATTTTTTGAGCATCTTATTCATTAAGTCTAGTTTACTCATACTAATTTCAGCTAAAAATTCAATCGGGAAGGCATTCAAATGAATTCTTGAAGATAACTGCGCTTTTAACTGCATAGTTTTCTTCAAGAATTCATTTGAATGTCTTCCCGATTGAATTTTTATCTGAAATTTGGTATGAGTGAACTAGACTTAATGAATAAGATTCTCAAAAAATTTCATCAAAAAATTCCACCGGGAATCGCCTCAAATGGCGACGGACGGATAGAACCTCTTATATAAGGACTTATTTGACCCCTTTTATGCAAACTGATCGAACCTTTACTAAAAAACCAACAACTAACTTACATTATTAAAAAAGAAGCTGGGGGAATCATGACGCAAAAATATCCTTGTCTTATTCATAACTGAACAAGTGCATCCAGATGCGAATCAAAGATAATCAAAATAATACCCAGCATTGATGTATTTTTCAAAATAAAGCCATTAGCAATTTGAATTACAAAAACAAATTGTATAATGGTTTTACTGATATATTGTTCAAAAAGCAGCATTGAAAGGGGAACACCAGGGCACAAAATTATATGTCTTGTAGAGCACAAATACGATGTAAATGATTTACTTTCCTCTATTTTCTTTAAAACTCATCAAATTGGCTCGTCTATCTCATCAAAATGTGACCAATTGGTTAGTCCTTATCATTGTACAAGACAACATGTTGTTCCCAGTGCTCTACATATTAAAATTCAATATCATAAGGTTTCCCTGTCTGAGATCAGTAGACACCCTCAGAAACAGTTTCGCTTCGGATATGTCTAAGGCAGTCTCATAACATCCTGCTAATTGTAAAACACTACATCCCAATTAGCGTTTGTGTTGTCGTGTACTTTGGAGTTTGGACACTTGTAGAGATCAGATAACTTAACATTATAAATAATTGTAGTTAGTTAATCTCCTTGCAACAGAAAGATGTTTGTGCCAGGTGTAAATAACAACTATGAGTACATTTAGTTACATAGACAAATGTAAGATAAACAAATGTATTCTCTTTCTTTAGCCTCTCATCTCTCTAAGATAAATTAATCTTCATTTCTTCCAACCTCCAAAGTTGCAGGTCTCTTGTAAGATTCAACAATGGAGGGTTTAATTTTGTTGAAAATTTGATACCTGGAAACTTACATTTTTACCTCAGGGAAAAAGACCATTGATTCCAAGTGGATTTACAAAATTAAATTCAAATCCGATGACTCAGTTGAAAGATTCAAAGCCAGATTGGTTCCTAAAGGCTTCAAACAAGTTAAGGACAAGAATTACAAACATACTTTCTCACCTGTTGCAAAATATACAACGGTTAGAAGCCTAATTGCTTTTGCTACATCTAAAACTTAGTCATTGCATAAGCTTGATATCAACAATGCTTTCTTACTTGGTTTCTTACTTAGTTTGATCTACCCTTAGCCAGTGATAGTACTCAATACTCAGTATTAGCAACTTAACGATTATTAAAATTAACAGTATACATTGGGGGAACAGGGATAGACCCATCAAGCATGCCAAACAAACCTTGAGAAACTAGGAAAGATTTAAACTGAGTTCGCCAAGTTAAATAATCCTCCACAACCTTAGTTTAATTGCCACAATTTGGGTAACATTGGAGATTTAAGCAAGGGATTGTACCAATGAAGCCATAGGACTGCCGAAAATAGAGGATTTGGCTGGACGAGTGATACTCGATGAGCCGATAAAAGTAGGACCGTAGAACTGAGAGCCATGTGTTGCCGGCGAGGGGACGAGCGGCGGAAGGGGATCAGTTCTGAGAATCTACCATGGAAAGCTTTGAGGTAGGCTCTGAAATAGCGGGAATGACGTCGGAGAGGAACATAGACCGGCGATTGGCGTGAGGAATGCTGTTATGGCCGGCTACGACATGACTTACAGCACCATTGGATGAATCAACCGTGGAGAGAGGCACGCTGATCGAAACAGAGGCAGGAGATGAAGAGAGAGCTTCTGTAGTGGAGATCGTGGCGGGGCTGGCTCCTGTCATTCCGACGACGGTATCAGCAGAGAAGAAAGCATTAGTCTGCATAGCGGCGGCGCACTAAGTGGAAAAACAGTTCTAGGATTTTGGAATTTTTAGGCTCTTGATACCATGTGAAATAATGGAACGGATTACCCCAATGAGGATCCTAATAGATATATTTATACTACCAGGATTCCTAATTTAGACTCTCCCATCCCACAAAACTTGGCCAAAGTTAACTTGCACTAGATTGATAAAGTAAAAACTGTGTGATTTAGTTTTCTGCAGTGGAGAGAGAAATAACTTTAGCTACATACTTCTTACTTTAAACGGAAATGACAAATTTTTTTGAGACGGCCAAAAAAGGAAATTTGGCCAAGTTTTATGGGACGGATGAAGTATTAACTACTCCCTCCATCCCATTTTACTTGTTCTACTTTCCTTTTTGCGTTCGCAAAACAAGTGTCTCTTTTCCCTTTTTGAAAAGAAATATGTGATCTACATTATTTCGCTTTATTATAGTCAAACTTCAACCACAATTTTTACTTTTTCAACAACTTCATTAATAATCGTGTCAACTTCATTAAAATGAAACGGTAGCATTAGTTTTAAGATAAAATCGGATTGCATGATTGCATAGAATGAGAAAATATTAGACGGTATGGAAGTATGTCAAAGTAATTGACCTTAATGGCTCATAAGGAGGCGTCACGCGAGGGTGATTTTATTCCGTTTGTTAAACACGTGGAACGATTGCACGCCGACTCCTCTATAAATATGCATAGAAATGCTCCAATTCACACAAAATATCATCACCTTCCCTGGTTCCTTATTTCCTAGTTATCTCTTTCTCCTCTGCCTTCTCAATCTTTGGAGCTTTTTAGATAATATTAAATTAGTTTGTTTCGTTAAAAGGATTAACAGAGTAGTCTTCTATGTAATTAATTCCTACAGTTTCAGAAAGGAAAAAGGTTGAAAACCGAAACGTTAACAGCCGGGAATTGGCAAGAGGAAATCTTTTTTGGTTTTCCTCAGATTTTTGCACGTTTTTTGGCTCTCTTTTTTCTTCACATTCTTGGGGATAGGATCGGTTGATAATGGAGGGAGGGGTGCATCCAGGCACAGATACAACTGCTTTCAGGGACTGTTTGGCTCTGTCTCGGAACAACCCTTATGTTCTTCGCCTTGCTTTTTCTGCTGGAATTGGTGGCCTTCTCTTTGGCTATGATACTGGTCTCTCTTCCTCTCCTTATCTATGTCTATCTCTAGCCCCCCCCCCCCCCCCACACACACACACAAGAAATAAAGGACTTCACAATCTTTCGTCAAAAACTGTATATAGATATGTATATGCAAATTCCTTCTCTGTACATACGTAGTATATTCTAGAGCTCTCAGTCCCTAGCTATTACATAAATGTTGGCACAGCTCTTATTTAAGTATATAAGACTCTTTTCCCTGTTTGGCTATTTGAGTATAATCATATATAGTTTGGAGCTTAGAAAGCACAGCTCGAGTGCTTTTCCCAAATTCTGCTCCATCCCCTTTGGATTCACCCCTTTAACTGTCTCTTTGCTTTCAATTAACACGCTTTATCTATGAAATTGTGATTGTATATTTGTATAACTCTCCCTAGTTGGTTTTGGTAATCAGGATGTGGTGCCCCGGCCTTGAATTGTATGTAGGTTATACCCCCTTTATGTTTTTACTGAATGTCTCAAAGGTTTTTCAAACTTGGAATAAAGTCTAACACTTTTAGTGCATCTTTTCACGTACTTCTAGCGGTGTTTTGGTGTAAGTGCGTAATTTAAGCAGGAATTGTTACTACAAAATTTTCATTTTAAATCCAAAACCTCAAAAATAAAAAAATTGAATCTTGGCACACTTTTAAGTCTTTAACTTTGTCTTTTTGCACAAATTTTTAAGTTTTGCGTTTCTTGTTTCGTCTAAATACGTACATCCAAATCGTTAAGAATCACACCATATATAATAATAATATACGGAGTAATAAAGTTATAGAAAAGCAAATATACCGTGTATACCAAAAATAGTACGTAGTACGAAGTACCTTCTTGCTATATTCCCTTTTTGCGAAGAACGGTTACGCATACAAAAAGCGTTGTTTTTGAAGGGTTAATTAGGTATATAGCATACTCTATATAAATAGATACGTA